CTTGCAGTCGGAGCACACATTTTCTCTCGGACCGCATATTTGGAAACTCGGCACACGTGCACGCACTTGACAAGTATAGAGATTGTGCTAGCGAAGCGGAAGTATCAAGACAGATATAGAAACCTAATCGGAACGATCGTTATATAATACGATTATATAACGAGCGTATATCAGGACGCTCGTTGTATAATAGAATTATAGAACGCGCGTTCGGCATATTTACACAGGGAAGAATAAACACGTAGGACGGAGTACAGAGCACGACATCTTGGAAAGACGGTCGTGCTCTGTGCTTCTTCCTGTGTGTTCATTCTTTCGTATGTATATGACCCTTACCAACACGCTCGGTTTTTAATAGTTCTGAATATGTTTCTAATTTCTCTTTGTACATATGTGTTTTCGCGGATGAGGGTACAGGACACTCCCGAGTATACTTAAAAATCCATGACCTTATTTTGAATCTTGAGAGTGGTCATGAATCTGAGTGACGTGCCCGATACTCGCACCGCATTTTTGGCCCGTTTATTAGCATCGCATTAAGCTCATAGAAATCTACCGATGCTTCAGATGCTTTCTCTCGGTTAGTAGGCCCCGTTTGGTGAACGAGGTCCCACGGCGCACTGCGGAACCTTCAGGAGGCAGCTCAGTGCTGTTCCTGGCATCTGCTTCATCTTCCTGATTCGGGTGTATATCTCTCCTGTCTCTCGAAACGTCGCCTTTCCTTTCCGGATTTCGCGAGTCTCTCACTTGTCTGCTTTTAAGTCCCTCTGCTGTCCTCTGCGCAACGCCTTGTGGCTTCTGAAAAGTTAAGTTGACTTCCGCAAATAGCCTTCGTTGTAAATGCTTGCCGCGCACGCCGCGCACAAACTCATCCCTGAACCTTATTTCTATAGAAAGCAATGACGGAAAAAGTGGCGCTGTCCTGCAAGGGTCGCTGTCCCCCCGGCGGAATCGGTGGTGCTGGCCGTGGCCGCTGCCCGCGGAGCGCCGGTAGCGGCCACGGAAGTAGACAATTGCAGAGTTCTGGCGGGAGCCGCCAGAACTCTAAAATTGCAGGCGGCGGCCAGTCTCTTTAAAGATGCGACATAACTCGATATCGACTGTCGCATTGTCTACTGATATCTTCGCTGACATTTCGTCCTTCTCAAGAGCTCTAACGGCCGCGAGTCAAATGTCTTTTCAGTGTCACCATGGGTACGTCAAAACTGCCCAGTTCTTAATGCCAACACGTCTGCACAAATAATAAATCTGTGCTGCGCAGTAAAGTAATTTTCTTTAAAGGCACCACTACTTGATTCGCTTGACGTTAGATACCGAGTCGCTCTGCGCATGGTATACTGGCTGTTTTGTCAAATTATTCCAGCTTGCCTCGGGCAGCCATCCTTTTGACGACCGGTATCGTCGCTTGAACGACCTCGCGCGCCACCAAAAGTCGCGGGCAAAGTCTCCGGTTACATACTGCTGAGTGTCCAGATCGTTATTGTAAAGGGGCCGTGCAATCATATTGCCTTGGTATATTTCTCACTTTAGACAAAGCTCACTGGCACTACGGCGACACAAGTATGCTCGCACCCAACGCCACCAAGAAACTTTTTTTGGCGCGCTGTGATTTCCGAGGATAAAAGCGGACTTTTTCTTTCGATCTCTCCTTCGCAAAACTTGATGACGTAGTCACGGAGATTACCCCATGATGACGATAGCCACGTGCTGCTCGGATATTGGACATGAGCACTGCGTGAGTACTTAATTTGGTCTCGTGACAATCAATGTCTCGACGAATATTCGAGTAGGGGCTCGTGTCCAATCGCCGCAAAGTCAAGAATGAGGAACTGTAAAAATCTCTAGAACTTAGCGCGTGCCCTGTACTTCACGAATCCAAGAGCGGGACTTTAGTCAACATTGACGGCATATAATCGGAACCATGTCTTGTGACCGCTTGTTTTGGCTGCGCGATGAGGAACTGGATGCTGCTCAATTTTTTTTTCTGCGACTGCCAATGCGTCAAGAGAAAATTTAATGCGTGCTTCGTAGCTACCAAAGATTAATTCTAAGTGATATTTACTTCTAACTACTAAAATGGTTGCGAATGACACTCCCCTGCTCCTCAATCGCATGCAGTCCCAACGTGGGTGCATACCCCTCCACCTGATAGTGTAAGCGGATACATCCAGACATGTACACGTTAATCCAAAAAAGTAACTAAATACCGTTACTCGTTACTCGCTCAAAAAATAACTAAATACGTCACTCATTACTGATTCTCAAAAGGAACGCGCTACTTTACCTCAAATGTAACGAGTTACTTTTCTCACTACTTAACGACCAAATATACAACGGCTTTTGATTCATGCTTTATTGTTTTCTTTTCAGTAGTCGTTGCGTTTAAGCAGTAGCTGCCTCTCGAAGCTTTCATCAGTTATGTTCCCTGCTTCATTGAGATTACATCTCCGGCGAAAGAGTCGTTCTACTGACGCGCTCGAAGGAACGGCAGTGTTGTGCTGCAGGAAGAGCTGGTGAATCTGGGATTCCCCTCTCCATTTTGTTCTCTCTGGTTTTAATGTTCCAAGCTGACAATGGGTTCTGTGCCTTCCCGTGTTGGCAACCTCCGGGTTTGCATTCGATTTGTACACGATTCTAGAAGGTGCAACAACGGGGTTTATTGTGTTCGTTGGGTGAAGGACATTCCCAGCTGTCAAGTTCGACTGACGTGTTGAACAATAAACGTTTCTATACTGTCCTACTGTTTAGTTGTTTTACCCATCTGCCGTTGTCGCAGCAAACACATACTCAGGTTAGCATTAAAACGAGGCTGTTTAAACGGTGTACGCGCTACTCCTCAAAAATAAAGAAATACCGTTCCTCGTTACTTGGCCTGAAAAGTAACTATAAGTACATCACTCGTTCCTTTTTTAAACTAGTAACTAAATACGTGACTCGTTACCCCAAAAAATAGCTAGATAGAAGTAACTCGTTACTAGTAACGCGTTACGTACATGTCTGCATACATCCCACTGACCATTTTAGCACTCCCCAAGTTACCTCCTCAACTTCAGATTTCTAACCTCCTCGGCCTGAAAGGCGCGCTGTTCCCTCTCACTGCGACAACCTTCGGTCCACCGAATAATATTGCTGTGACGATTCATAGCAGCTATTTTGTATAATAAGAACTGGTGGGAATCAGCATCCAAAGGCGTAGCGAATATGCATAAGAATTACATATCTTTGCGAAGTTCTTTTCCAGCTGCACCACATAAATCCTAAAAATGGGGCCCTAAACTCGCCAAACACAAAGTTGCAAGAGCAGAAAGTTCGCGGAGCGCGCCGATTGGACGCCGGCGACAAAAGCGCGAAGTCATCGTCGTGATAGTCCAATCGGTGCGCTCCGTCAACTTCGGCCCTAACTTTGTGTTCGACGAGTTCAGAGGCTCTCAACAATTGAGCGAATGACCTTCCGATTAGTCGATTAATGCTATATATATTTATTTACACTCAAGGTCATTCGACATTACAGAGGGGTGTCGTACAATAAAACGCAGGGGGAGGCGAAGACCCAGGAATCCTTCAAGATATCCTTAATCCCATTCTCTCCTCATCCCCTTAATCGCTGACGCCGTCTGGCAAGCGACGAGGTCGTATCACTTTGAACTTAATAAAGAAAAAAGCACGTTTCGTTTCACTGATTCGTGCTGTAAAACTGGTATACCTAACCACCCGTGTGGCAGTCTGTTAAAATGCCGCAGTGGAATATGTAGAAGATACGCCTCTATTACAGGGTGTGCATGGAGTGGGAACAACCTGCTCGTGCTCTGGGCAGCAGAGGAGCGAGCACTTCTGCGTTCCTCTTGGTCCCAGTTCGTAATTCGAACGACCCCACGTTGCACCGTGCGGCGCCGGGAATTGTAGATACTGGAAGCGGCTCGATCCCTTCTCTTCTACCACTGTGAGTTGAGAACGAGGCCCTCTTACGGGCGCCGTACATCGAATATTGCATCGATAAGACGGGAGGGAAGAAGGCGCTGCATATATCCGGAAGGGTTTATTTAAGTACGGTCTAAACTAGAAACATCGAGAGGTTTTCTGTTTGAAAATTCAAGGCCAGTGCTTCTTAAAGGGGTCATGAAACGCTTTTCCAACTTTTTCCTGTTTCGCTTTCCTCCTCAACTCATAAATCGCGCATTCCACCAAACAGTTAAAGAAGACGAAAAGGGGGAGTCCCCTCTTGCTCGCACTCTCGTTTGTATAATCCGGGCACATCCATTCTCCCCCTAGAAGATTAGCCCGTCGCTCAAAATTCAGACACAAGTTGCTTTCCCCACCCCGTTCATTCCGAAGCTAACAGTGCTGTTGAAGCTACGTGCTCGCTGGGCCAGCCACACTTGCCACGTGAGCGTAGCAAATGTGGCTGCAGAGAATGAAGTCAGGTGATGAAAGGGAGGCGGCTGATTGGTCCGGCAAGCGCGTAGGTTCCACCACAATGTCAGCTTAGGGGTGAAGGGAATAAGTGAGGTCCGGTTGCGTGTGACGTCAGTTTGGACCCGATGACGCGCTTTTGGGACCGCGGATGTATCACAGTGAAAAGGCAGAGAGGTTGCGAAGGGGAGGAGGTACGAAATAGTCCGCTCTGTTTTCAAATTTTCGCACTGAAAGTCAGGCTTTTGACTTTCTACCTTTTTTTCTTTTGGTCCGCTGAACGATGTGCTATTAGTAAAATCCCAATCTAAAATGATTTATCTCAACCCAAAAATCGTTTCATGGGCCCTTTAAGCAGTTACCGGTATTTGAGGTTTTCTGTGATTACCAATTAGGTTGGTAATGTAAACTAGTCAGCTTATAGAGCTTAATATATGTATTTTTATAAAGTGTAATATATGTATTTTTATAAAGTGTAATATATGTATTTTTATAAAGTTTAATATATTTTTACATTTCTCGAAAACGGCCAAGTCCATATGCCAAATTATCAATACGAGAAGCAGGTCCCGAGAGGAGAGAAATATTACTTCAAGTGGTCCACAACGGAGATCAAATCTTCTCCCATCATCTGGATTGTCGGGAAGTTGAAGCTGGAATTAAAAAAAAAAGAAAACAATTTAAGTTTTTCAAAGTAGAGTACATCACGAGAGCTCTCCAACACTAGTGACATTCAATGATGAACACAACTGTCGTAGAGAAATGTGCCGAACGAGAGTTGGAAGCATTGATTTTGTATACTGGCACCTGCAACAAATAGTTCAAATTTGACCATCAAAATTAGCTCGCAGGGATGTTTGTTTCTTGTGTCACCTGTGGTCTATGGTAGACCATTTCCTGGAGATCACACTGAATAACGCAAGAGTAATTGGCAGAGGAATTTTTCTTAAGCAACAAGCTTTAGGGGGCAACTTTTTTTTTTATTATTTGCGACAACAGAATATTTTTTTTCCCAGATTACTGTGCTTGATCTCCTTTTCAAAAATATGTTGTTAATTTTGATACACCTTGTATTTTTATAAACTGGATGCAATGCACGCGCAAAAAACACCATCTTCTTGCGTGTACGTGGGGCATGGAAACACACTTACAAGAGCCTAGTAAAAGAGCCTAATAACCCATTCCCGCGGTCATAAATGTCCCTTTAGCTAAGGGACCTTCATGGTCAGTGGCGAACCGGTTCGCGATCCTCCGTGCGTGGCATGTGCTAGCGACCTAAGAGCATGGGCTGATTCGCCCATTGCAAAGGGACGTACCTATGTTAAACGTTGCCTTATACTGGACGTGTGGATGGGGTATAATTCGCACTTTTTAACGCACTGAGTGCAATGAACAACAAAAAGAATGTGTTTTCAATGAAATTAAAATCGCAAAATCGTCATTTTCAGAAACCTATGTACAAAAGCTTTTTTCTAAGTTTTACACACACACACACAAACACACACACACACACACACACACACACATACAGGGTGTCACAAAAGAAAATTTACATTTTGTTTTTTACCGCAAAAATAAACTAGGCATCGCCGAACGCTCATTCTTCGCCCGAAGGTAGCTCAAGAGGTCACAACCAGATGCCAAAGTTTCAGCCCGATCCGATAACTTAATCAAAAGTTATAAGTGATTTTCTGAAAATTTCAATGGGAAAATGGAGCTCCTTTTTGCCCGTTTTCGGTTTCTGGTGCCATAGAGCCCCATGCATTCGAAAACTCTGTCGGCCGCCATTTTATCATTGAAATTTTCAGAAAATCACTTATAACTTTTGATTAAGTTATCAGATCGGGCTGAAACTTTGACATCTGGTTGTGACCTCCATCGCTACCTTTGGGCGGAGAATGAGCGTTCGGCGATGCCTAGTTTATTTTTGCGGAAGTAAAAACCCTGTAAAATTTATTTTGTGACACCCTGTATATATATATATAAAATACATTCTTGAGGATGCGTAATGTGCAACCTTAATTGATAGTTGCGCTTTACGTATCCTCAAGCTTATCTTGCCATATTTTGTTCTCATGGGAAAATGTTAAGCACAATTCTTGTGTGCAAATTGTGAAGACACTTGAAAATTACACGAAGAGAAAAACGCGTTGGAATATTACCATAGTTGTGAAAACAGCACGCCCTTGCGGTGTAACTTTTTTATTATTATTATTTTTTTATGAGAAATTGAAACTACAAGAGATTGCGACGGAGAGAAGATGGTTAGGCCTACTTCTCAAAATAATTGTGATGGCAGGCGACGCCACAATTTGAAGAACCGCGCACACGAACACGGCTCATACTTACGCCTTTCTTTGTCGCCGGGACGTCCTCAAATGAGAATTTGGCTAATTTCGTGACCATTTCTGTCCTTATTTCCTATACATAAAATATGAAGATTTAAGGGTAATAAAACAATAAAACCCGAATTTACCTTGTTTGCAAAATAGTGCTTTTTTTTTTACCTGCCTCTCCCCTGAAAATCGACATCAGAAACGTTTCATTCAGTATCTTATTTGGCTGCGGTAACGCCAGTTGGGAGGCCTATGGAGAAGATTAAAACCCCCAAATAAAAAGTGAAAGCCGTTTATAACTCCCTGTGACGCCTAGTTAAAGCGCAGCTCTTGAGGGGGAGGAGGGAAGGGTAGTGAACGTCACGTGCTCTCGGGAAAGGGGGGGGGGGGGCGAGGGGGGGTCACGTGACCTCGGGGGAGGGGGGCTCCATGTGGGGGGTCACGGGGAGAGGGTCACGTGACCCCGAGGTCACGTGACCCCCAGAGAAACTTTTGCGCTAGATTTAGCGGGGAAATTTTTCCTCTAAATCTAGCGGGGAAATTTTTCCGCTAGATTTAGCGGGGAAATGTTTCCGCTAGATTTAGCGGGGAAATTTTTCTGCTAGATTCAGCGGGGAAATTTTTCTGCTAGATTCAGCGGGGAAATTTTTCTGCTAGATTCAGCGGGAAAATTTTTCCGCTAGATTTAACGGGGAAATTTTTCCGCTAAATTTAGCGGGGAAATTTGTTCGGTAGATTTAGCGGGGAAACTTTTCCGCTAGATTTAGCGGGAAAAGTTTTCCGCTAAATTTAGCGGGGAAATTTACCCATAATGCACCGCGCGGTTACGCCGACGGCGGCGCCGCTCAAGCCGGAAACGGGCGCCTAAGAGCTGCGCTCTAAAAAGGCGCGAGAGCATCAGGAACGGAATATCGCTGTCAACTTTATCAGAAAAGAAAGCCATCGTTTGTGGTGTCATTTCTGAGACTCCTTTTGATACATTATACGCGTGCTGTCATTATCTCAATCATGTTTGCTGATTCCTTTTCTTTTCTCTTCTTGAGGGGGTGGGAGGAAAGGGGGGGGGGGGGTGGAGAGAGGACGAAATGAGATTTCAGCAAAACTAAGCGCCTAGCTGTTTCGTTCCACCTGTCTTGTCACGTTTCTTTTTTTTTTTTCTTTTTTTTTATATACTTGCTTTTTTACATGCTTAATCCTTACTAATCGCTCAGTTAATTTCCACTTGGAATTGAAAGTAATACAGTTCTTGATACCTTTAACCCGAAAATAGCTCACTATATTTATTAATTATGTTGCCATTATTTAATTTCCGTCTGTAGCCGAGAACGGAAATGACTGCCGCAATAAAACGAGGTGCACGATACCAAACAACCGTCCAAAAGCGAAAACCAATGTTACTAGAACAAATCAGTTGGGAAACTCACCACCCTTGAAAACCGGACCGCTCGTGTCCACCAAGACCGAACTAGATACGATTAGAGCACCACCCTTTAGCGGCGAGTCAAAATATGAAAGTTGCTTTATGTAGCTACTGCGAGATGCCGCTCTGGGATGGCGCCACCGGCCCTTGCGCTACTCGATGGGACCGGTACGTGCAGCCGAGCAGTGCCCGAAGTGGCCGCTGCGGGAGAAATGGTGGCGTTGCGATCGCGCCTAGCTTAAAGCTCCTTCATGTTTCAAAAGTAGCGCAAGGTGCGTCAATGCACGAGGCACTTGCAGCCCTTGGGAAGATCATGGCGGCACAGCGCAGCACTGAGCTAGATTTCAGACGCCATGTTCTTCCCAGAAGTGGCGCGCGGCACGTGTCTCGAGCATTTCCACAACAATGAATGTCGCCCCTTTTCCCAGGATAGAGGGGCTTTAGCCTAGCTCGGTTCTCGAGTATGGATCGGAGCCACTATTTTAAGCAGGCTTCTATGGCAGTATCCCAACTGAGTTCTTACAGTAACTTTGGCGAAAACACTTTTTGTGCTCAAAAGCTCGAAATCTGATTTACTTTTAAGCAGAAAAAAGTGAATAAAAATAATAATAAAAAAAGGTGATAAGCGTAGGTAATTACTCGTTCGGAAGCTCGGTTGCTGTGTCTTCTTGGCCGGGCACGTCCACGTGTATGAACACTGAGCGCTGCTTGATCTCCGACATGCACGGGTGGTCAACGAAATCTTGGAACGAGGTATCTGCAGAAGAAAAACAAGGTCACATATAAATCGTTCCATCCTTATAGTTGATGTTAGTATAACACAAAATGATAGTCCCATACTGACCTGTGCTCGCTAGCTTATAAATTACGTGAACCGGATGCCGTCCCAAACGCAAATTGATATCGTCAGCATATGAGCAGCATCATCGTCATAATATCATCGCCACAAATATGAGTATTAAAACACACACACACACACACACACACACACACACATACACACACACGCACGCACACACACGCACACACACACACACACAACTGCTCTAAGCATTCTTACAAAACAAGATATTAGGTCTTTTTTTCAAATCGCGTTTCCCAAATTCTTGTTGTAAGCGTTACAAAAAAAAAAAAAGAAAAACTGGAACAGTATGGCGTTTTCGCAATATTGACATTTTATCCGCTCCCATATATCTCCTCGCGCACTATCTACAGGGTGATTCAAGAAGACGCCAGGCTCTTTAAATCGACCGCAAAATTCGGTTTCTTAACCTATCGCGCTACGACTTTGTGCAGCGTTGCCCACAGATGGTGCATTCTTTTTTTGTAAAATTTGCAAAGAGCGAACATACCTGAGGAAAAAGTAAAGAAAGAAAAAGGCTTAGCTCCTATGGAAACGCAGCGACGCCACCAGTCTTCAAACAACACGGCACCGTTTCGCACGGGAGACAAGAGATGGCGCAAGCGGTCGCGACGCCAACTGCCGCCAACGAACGAGCATACGACGCCGAGAGCCGGCGTCTTTAGCAGACAAGGAACTGTAGTTCCTTGTTGTTACCGCGCCTGTTTTTGTTTCTGCGACTGTCGCCGCCTGCGGAATGCGCGCCGCTTTTGAGTCGAAAAGATTGTCTGCTAAAGGCGGCGGCTCTCGGCGCCGTATGCTCGTTCGTTGGCGGCGATCGTTGCGCCATCTCTTGTCTCCCGTGCGAAACGGCGCCGTGTTGTTTGTAGACCGGTGGCGTCGCTGCGTTTCCATAGGAGCTAAGCCTTTTTCTTTCTTTACTTTTTCCTCAGGTAAGTTCGCTCTTTGCAAATTTTACAAAAAAAAAAAAAAAAATGCACCATCTGTGGGCAAGGCTGCACACAGTCGTAGCGAGATAGGTTAAGAAACCGAATATTGCGGTCGATTTAAAGAGCCTGGCGTCTCCTTGAATCACCCGGTAATAATGTGAGTTTGCAACACGAGCTACCTTTAGGCTATGGTAATTTCTCAGGACGCTACAATACTTCTACTGACTTGTTTTACTTAGCGTATGTATCCTAGACGTAAAAACATAAAAACTAAGTATACGGGTACTAAAACAGAAAAAGGTCTGTAACTTCACCTTCCTGCATAGCACAGGCTCAGCCAATCGCGGCGAACAATCGAAGGATCCCATCGAATGACAACACTCAGAATAGGATTCGACAAAAATATGCGACGTGCACTGGAACAAAAGGCACGCACTTTCCCTCGCCCACTGTCCCTGCGCACATCACAGTTTTCAGATGTATGTGCCGAGGAACAGAGGAAGAGGAGGAGCTAACGGGGTCGTCAGAACGCCGGTTTCCGGTTGGAAGGATTAGTGGGGAGACCTCAAGCGAGCAGCCTTTGTCTCCACTGCACTCGAAGGATGCGTTCGAATGCGAGAGCCAAACGCCGGACGCCGGCGTTTTAACGCGTACAACGAGTGCAGTGGAGACAAAGGCTGCCTCCGTCTCGTCCACTGAGCTCGTCTATAGACCTTTGCAAAAATTGCCTTCTGCACGCTGCCATATTTATCTGCTGGGCTGTGGAACGCCTTCTGAGCATGCGCTGTTGGTCTGCTGTGCGGCATATCGGATGCTGCGCATGCGTCCACAGCTCAGTGACTCAGCATTTTTCGCCCGCGCGCTTCGTTCAAGACTGCCGCTAAAATGGTCTATAGACCCCTTTCAAAATACGGTACTCTGTTGGCAACTGTGAAATTCCTGCACAATGACGGACTAAAACCTCAACGTCAAGGCACACTGGAAAAAAACACACCCATTAAAAGATGTGATGATCGCAGTGACGCTGCAATTTCGACGCTGTTTGATTGGCTCGTCGGCTCGTAGTGTTGGCTGCGCTCCGACATTCGCTATCTTATGGAATGACTTGCACGTTCCTCGATGCAGTCGCTCCGCCATTGTGCAGTGGTTCCTAGTCTCTAATAATCGGCACGTGACTTTTGAAAGGGGTCTATTGTTCGCCATGATTGACTGTCTCGCTGTCTTACAGGAAAGTGAACTCAAATGCGTTGTTAGAGTAGAGAGATGACAGCGCAGAACGTTAGTATTTCACATGGTGTTTGAATAAAATTTATTAAAAAAAAAGAGAGGGTGTTGAAACCAGACTTGTGCCGGTTACTTTGAGAACGTAATGGATTACAATTACAAATTACCGAACCTCAAATGTAATGGATTACCATTACAAATTACTTCCGCTGAAAAGTAACATAAAACTTCACTCGTTACATTACGAATTACATTTACTATACTTTTCCCGTATACTTATCCAGAAAACAATAGAATTTATTTTGATATTTTTCCAACAATGTTCTGCAACACTACTAGATTTCATTTCTGATAAGCCCGTATTATGGTAGTCCTTGTCAAAATAAAATATTGTATTTAAGAGAAAGAGTGTAGGTGCCCTCCGTTCACCTGTAAGCTGACAAGGCAGCGAAAGCATGCAACCACATCCACCATCCCGCTAGCTTACGGCCTCCGGAAATTATCCCTGGAATTGTGCAGACAAAGCTAGCAATGCGCATGCTCAGTAGCAGCGTCTACCTCCGCTAAGAGAAGAAGAAGACAACGCCTACTCGGCGTTGTCACGTTGATCTTTGTTCTTTGCATATTTGTACTCGTCTCGCACGTTTTTCTAGTGGCTCTAGTGACCGGTTTTACAAAAATTCGTGTTTATTTTCGGTTATTCTCCTCTTCATGATGATATTATCTTCAACTTGCAATCTTTATGCTCCTGAATTGCCTGCTCAGAATGCCGCACTTTCTGTATTATGTTCATATTTTTAAAAAGTACCTAGTGAATAAAGTAATTGTTACCAATATTTTGTAAAGAAATTACATTACAAATCACTGGCGCAAAAAAAGTAACGTGGGAATTAAAAAAATTACTTGAAAAACCCACGGATTACAAGTAATCCGTTACTAGTAAAGGATTACTTTTTAAGTCTCGTTGAAACCCTAACGATACGAAAACGTCATGGCCTCCCTTCGAAACCGCATGACTCAACCCCGACCGAATCTGAGTGTCAGAGTAGCGCTGCGTTCTAGGTGTAATACCTCGGTCAGACGGGCACCTAAAAGGACCTTTACGCCAAAGGCCTTTAGGATTTTCAAATAACCTTGAAGTTATGCCTTGCCAGACAGCGCAAGTAAATGTCATTTAGACGATGTTTACAGCGATTGAAGTCTCGTAGCTCGTTCAAACGCATAAATCACGGTCACGCCTGAAAAATATTTTGGCGATATAAATACTTTTTAAAATTTTTCTTAAGCAAACTAAATATTAAAAAAGAAAAAAAAATACGAGTTCAGTCAAGTGATTACAACGAAGTCCACTTTAAACCCAAGCAGAGTGTTTTTTTTTTCTTGGCAATTAGCGGCAACCCTGAGCGTCTCCCGCTCACTGATTCCTAGCGTTGTTCAGTGCTCCCGCTCGTTTCCGTGCTTCTGCTACGCTTTTGGCTTGTTCGGTTCGGTATCGTGCTCGCCAACGTTACTAGAACACTCAGTTGGGAAACTCGCCGTCGAAACCTGGGCCGCTGGCGTCCACCGAGACCGCGCTAAATGCGACGACAGCGCCACTCTTTATCATTTGTCTGTACTGTGGTCACCTCGAGCTTTTAGAAAGCATGTTTTTGCGTAAAAACAAACGGAAAAGACTTTTTTGTATGAAATTTATTGGAGTTTAGTACAAAATGAAGGGCGCGTGATGTTTTTATAACCTTTAGTTTGCAAGGTTTTGCGGAACAATTAATATTGTTTTTATACAACTATGCCTTAGCGGTCCTTTTAGGTAGCACGTCCCGACCTAGGTGCATTTTAACTTTGGTAGAAATTCGCGGCGCGTCCGCTGGACAGAGGGGGGTGGCGCCCCTGTAACCTCTTCCACTGTATCTGTTTCGGCGCCAAAATGGCCGATTAAAGCCAAAATAGAAGTAACGTGCAGTTCCTCGAGTGGCCGCTGCGGGAGAAATGGCGCCGTTGTGTTCGCCATTAGCTCGGTTCTGGTGAACAGATTGGGGCCACTTTTTCAGAGCAGTCTCTATGGCAGTTTCCCAACTGAGTGGTTCTAGTAACGTTGGTGCTCGCGCTTCGCGTCAGAGGTCCTCCAGCCCATTCTTCCAAAGTCGTATCAGCGCCCAGGTCGCCTCAAGGCTCCAATGGAAGCGCAGCGACCCCTTCCTAGTCGTAAACGCTCCTCCGTCGTTCGACATATCGCACGACGCGAGAGTGAGATACAGAAATATATACAGTACAGTTAGTAATACACTATTAAAGGATGATAAAATATAAAGTAGAGAAATAAAAGCTAGATAACTATGGTTGTAAGGAAAATCGAGACGAGGAAAACCGAAGTGCCGAAAAGGACGATGCGAGCAGGCGAGCGGCGGGACGACGAGGCCTACTAGAAAGCTGTGAAACACGTACGCTCTTTATACAACAAAAAACATTGATTTTAGGTATCAGTACGATCTTTTATTTCAATTCGCGTCTCTAGTGTAGGCCGCTGCTGACGAGAGTACGCCTTTAGCAGCCGTGAAGGAGTTGCGGGAACTCAGGTTCACGAAAATAACCTTTTCGCTAGATGCTATTCGAGTTACCGTGTGGCACTACTTAAATGAGATTTACACTAAACGTCCTTTGGCGTAAAGCAGGGATGGGCAAAATACATGCAAATATGTATCGAAATACAAATACAAAATACTTTGTCAAAAATGTATTTAATTA